CTGTACCATGGTTAAAAACACCATACCATAGGTATGGTACTGTACTATACCACACCACACCACACCTTGTACCATGGGACACCAGTACCATACCCCTGTCTCTTATACACATCTAGATGTGTATAAGAGACAGGTACTATACCACACCACACCACACCTTGTACCATGGGACACCAGTACCATAGCCTGTACCATGGTTAAAAACACCATACCATAGGTATGGTACCTGTCTCTTATACACATCTAGATGTGTATAAGAGACAGGTCAATATCTGTTCCACAGCTCAAGCCCCGCTTAGATCTATTTCGTGTTTTACTTTTACTTCTCGAAAGGAAGAGGGAAGCCCACTGGACAGCAGGACAGGACGAATGTAGTTTTTACTCCAGAGTCGAAACCCAGCGGCGCTGTTTCAACTCACCGCCACCGTGCAATCCACCGCAACAACCATTCGGACCTACGACCTTGCCAATCCACTCCACGTACCGATCATACGATCCCATCGTCACCCGACCATACTATAGCACAGCTATAGTCCGGTACCATATCCTTCCCACCGCATAGCACCGCACACCATTACCATACCAAATAGCACATCACTCGACATCATGGTCGAGCGAGGTCCCAAGGGTTCGGTTGTTCGCCAATGAAAGTCGAAACCCCTTTTTTCCTTCCCCCCCTTTCCTGTCTGCCATGGTCGAGGTCCCAAGGGTTCGGTTGACCTCATATTCCCGTGTCAGACATCTCTGACATGTCTGACCGTATAAACGTCACTATATGTGGCGAAGTCGTAACCCTTTTTTTTTCCTTTTCGCCCCTTCCTTTCCGTTTGTTTTTCCCGTCTTTTTTTATTTTTCTCTTCGTTAAAGCACGAGTACCTTTGTCGGTTCGGAAAAATAGTGGGCCTCCGACCTTTCAGGAGGAGGCCGAAACGAAACGAAACGACGGCCGCCGATCAGATTTAGCAATCGCACCCGTTGTTGTCGGGCCCGGCCTCCTAAAAGTTCGGGACTAGGCTAAAACTCGCCGAAACAAAACGGCAACGGTACTAGTGGTTTAAAGGGCTGCAGTCTTGATATATATCGTCACAAATATATATCATATATACATCGTATATATATATCGTCACAAACAGAACTGCCCGGTAAACCGTAGGCAGAGAGAGAGAAGAGGACAACAAACGAGGGGCTGTGACAAACTGTTTCGTCGGAGTTTCACCGACTCATCAGGAGGCTGAACCCTCAACAGTCT